TTTTTTTTTTTTTAGCATTGTTATGCTAAAATAGAAAGCTATCCTCATGAATCTGCCACAATCAAGCCTGCATCAACCTTCTGGGTGTGACTTGTGAGTTTTGGCCCTAGGATGCCAATCTGAGAGTTTAGTCTGCCATTAAAAAAACAACAAAACTCATTCTCATCTCATGCATTACTATGCTTGCTACTTTGTCTTAGCAACAATGAACTAAACTGTTTCAAAGACTTTATGGAAAAGAGACATTATATTAATAAATAAAAAAAAACAAAAGCAAAAACCTGCATGCTGGCCATGTATGGTATAATTATTTTTTTTTTTTTTTGGTTTTTTTTTTTTTTTTTGGCTTGGAAATGGACGTTCGAAGACTAATGGCATGTCATTCTTTTGTTTTATTGCCTCCTGTCTTTTTTTGAGCTCAGAACAAAAATGTGCAACCCTAGAGCTATCTTCCCATGAAAGTTTATGTATCTGCTCCAGAACTGCTTTGAGCTACTCAGAAGTTCAGCCTCCCCTGTCAAAGATGCCAGAATGGGTTAAACATTGAACATGGCAAAAATGAAAGAACTCTGAATGTTTTCTTTTTAATGAGAATGACACCCCACTTTGGGGGCTAAAATTGTGCTGTTGCCTAAAGCAGTCTCGAATTTATTTTTTAAAGAAATCTGCCCCATTATTTTTGGTTTGTTTTATTTTTGTTACTCCTCTTTTGGCTTTTGGTCATTGTCAAATACGGAATGCTATGGGTTTCTAGTATATAATTTAATTCTAGTTTTTATAATCTGTTAGCCCAGTTAAAATGTATGCTTACAGATAAAGGAATGTTATAGATAAATTTGAAAGAGTTAGGTCTGTTTAGCTGTAGATTTTTTTAAAGATTGATGCACTAAATTGTTTACTGTTGTGATGTTAAGGGGGGTAGAGTTTGCAAGGGGACTGTTTAAAAAAAAAAAAAAAGAGTAGCTTACACAGCATGTGCTTGCAACTTAAATATAAGTTGGGTATATGGAGTCTTTGCTATACCACTGACTGTATTGAAAACCAAAGTATTCAAAGGGGAACTGCCCCTCTTTATATCTGTAGGGGTTTATTACATTCAAAATGTATGTTCCTTTTCTTTTTTTTTTTTTCAAAAAAATTAAAGTATTTGGAACTGAATTGCACTAAGATATAACCTGCAAGCATATAATACAAAAAAAAAAATTGCAAAACTGTTTAGAACGCTAATAAAATTTATGCAGTTATTAAGATGGTATCAGTGCACAGTTTAAGAGGATGCGGATTTTTTTACAGTTGTATTGTGGTGCAGAACTGGATTTTCTGTAACTTAAAAAAAAAAAAAATCCACAGTTTTAAAGGCAATAATCAGTAAATGTTTTTTTCAGGGACTGACATCTGTCTTTAAAAAAGAAATGAAAAGTAAATCTTACCACAATAAATATAAAAAGATCTTGTCAGTTACTATTCTTGTTACATATTTTGCTGTGCAAAATTGTTTTATATCTTAAGTTACTCACTAACCACGCGTGATGTTCCTATGTGCTTTTCTTTGCCTTTTAAAAAAATTCTGGTTATATCAAGAGAAAGAATAATCTACAATAATAAACTGCATTTTTTTTTTTTAATTCTGTACTCAGTTTCTTAGTGTGCAGTGTAACTGGGTCCAACGATCGCATTAGAAGTATAAAGTGCATATTTTTTCTCTAGTACAAAAATTCATGGCGAAGTGGGGAAAAACTACCTCAGGATTGAAGCATAGTGTTTGCTGAGGCGGGGAGACTAGCCCTTTGTAGTAATTGCCAATATTTGATATAGTTGTAAATTTGGACCTCTCAATGTTTTTTCCCCCTCCCAAAGTTTTCAGTTTCCAATTGAGTTGAGCCTCTTTTGCCCTCTGGTGAAATAAACAAGAGAAACTGGGCCCTCTCTCACCCTCAACTTCTGCTGCTAGAAGCAAGCCCATCTAGAGAGATGAGGGAAGAAAAGACATCAAAAGTCCTATCAGAGGTGTTTTGGGCACATATGCATTTAATGGTAAAGATAAACAACTCTTGCCTTTTGGCTACAATTGATTTTTTTGTCTTCTCCCCTTAAACTCAGTGATTTTCTTGTTGGCAAGGCCTGACAAGATTTAACATAAACACTTTGGACAAATCAAAGTTTTGTTTTGTTTTGAACTTTGTAGGTTACTTGTCTTAAATAGGAAAAAGAACAATTCACTGATCACTTAGATAACTCCAAAGCCCTTATGTGGTTGAAAGTGTGTTCTCAAATCCCATTTCACTACTAGCAGTTTAGCGGAGGGCTTTTGGAAATTGGAGAGCCAAGCTGGTAATGACTTCAGAGTGTTTCAGCACCAGAAATGTAAGCAGAAAATCATGTTTCGTGAAATATATACTGTGCTTTGATTTATTGATATTTACCCCTAAACTTGGCTGTGCATAGGAGCTTACTAGAGCCCTTGGAAAGCATGAGGTTGCTCTCGCTAGAACTCTCAAACCCTGACCTATTTTAAAATGACACAAATCCATGCAACCAATGTTACAAATTCATGCAGTTTACAGTTACTTAACTTCCCCTAGAGCGCTAATAGATTGTTAAACAAAGACAGCAGTGTCCTGACAATATAGCCAACCAGGATGATTTTTTATTTTGGTTTGGGCTCTTTTTTAAAAAAAAAAAGGGAAAGAAAGAAAAGATAATATTGCAATTCTAAACGAAGGCCTTATTTTGCAGAGCACAGGTTGAGCTTCACCAGTGATGAGTTCTAAGCAGCTTTATATTCTTCCGGGTTTTCATAGAACACGAAGACAGTGTAGTGTATACACTGTCTGTAGACCGACCTTCTATGGGGGTCAGCTCCTGAGGCCACACTTCATTTTCCTTAGCCAAATTCTTAATTGTAAACCTACATCTGTGTGCTGGAGTTAGCTAATTCTCTGCTTCACATAATGCCCCTGTACCCCGTCACAATTAGGTGATACATAATCTCCCCCTGAAGAAACAGAAATCACTTTGTGAACATCTCAGCATCTCATGAAAAAATTTAGGCATATAGTCTTCCAAAGAAAAGTCAGTGACGTTCAGGACCAACTTCTAGCCGTTATGTCATGAGGAATAGGGCTTCTACTGAGAGAAAAATACACTCCTGCTATAATTAGGCATTTTGATAGGAGGCTACAAGGCTGTTGAATTAGAATTAAACACGTTTGGGCCCCAGACATTAGAAGCAAAGCGGAGAATTGCGGGCAAAAAAAAAAATTTTTTTTTTCGTAGCTGGCTTTAAGAAAAGGTTAAAATAACCCCTGGTGAAAGACAGTTTGAGAAATGATTAGTGAAAACTTCGGAATGGAGTTTGAATGGCAAACCATTGAATAATGTGATTTTCCTTTAAAAAAAAAAATGCTAAAGCTCGCATAGATGCCCTTCATCACAAATTGTCTCTAAATTAAAAAAAAAAAAAAAAAAGAAATAGAAGAAAATCTAGCTCTCCCCTTTCTGTGTCTAAATAGTGTTAAAATTCCTTTCATTCCAATTACAGAACTGAGCCCCCTCGCAAGTCGGAGCCATCAGTGGGATACGTACATTTTGGAAACCCCAGCAACGTGTGCTTACCAATGTGTTCACAAAATGAATCTTACGTGAGAGCTGTACATTAAAAAAAATAATAATACATATTATTATCTGCA